AATGAAAATGGTCCAGACACTAATTATCTTGTGCTATAACTCAAGGTTCTCTTGAATGTTAGATTTTGTTAGAGGAAGGATAGTTGGTCAAGTAGATGGTGGAATAAGTCAGCGGCAAATTTCGCAGAATTTGGGAATCCCGCATTCGACAGTCAACAGAATCATCGTGCAGTTCAGGTAACGCGGCAAGGAAACAAATGAGCAGCGTTCGGGTCATCCTGGTCCATCGGAGAGGACAAAAAGTTTGTTTGTTTTGTTTTTTTGGAATTTCGCGCAAAGCTACACTAGGGCTATCTGCACTAGCCGTCCCTAATTTAGCAGTGTAAGACTAGAGGGAAGGTAGCTAGTCATCACCACCCACCGCCAACTCTTGGGCTACTCTTTTACCAACGAATAGTGGGATTGACCGTCACATTATAACGCCCCCACGGCTGAAAGGGCGAGCATGTTTGGTGGGATGCGGATTCGAACCCGCGACCCTCAGATTGTGAGTCGAGCGCCTTATCCACCTGGCCATGCTGGGCCCAGGACAAAAAGGGCTATCAAGAGGAGCATCGAAATGGATCCCAGGTTAACGACTGCAGAAGTGGCCAAAGTTGGTTGGATGAGCCCAAAATCTGTTCAACGAATTCTCCACAGATTGGGTTATCGTTGCAGAGCAGCTAGACAGAAGCCCTTATTAAGACCTGCCAACATAGTCAGACGAAAGAAGTGGGCAAGTGATATGATGACCAAGCCTCTGGACTTTTGGAAGACCATATTGTTCTCAGACGAATCAAGATTCACTCAATTTTCGGACAGTGGAAGGATATGGGTCTGGAGAATGCCTTACCAAGAGTTTTGGCTCAACAGATTGCAGCCAACTGTGAAGCATGGTGGTTTCAACGTGATGGTTTGGGGAGCTGTTTGGGTTGGTGGGAGATCGAGCTTAGTGGAGTGCGTTGGCAACATAAATTTTGCCCAATACTTCGAAATATTGGAGGAAGGACTCATGCCACTTTATTCCTCGGGTTTTGTGGACAAGAACACAATGTTGTTCCAGGAAGATGGAGCACCATGTCACACTACTAGAAACACCCAAAAGTGTCAG